AGCAAGAACGCTTCGGATCCGTCGCGGAAGTTCCGTACGGCATTTTCGTTTCTTTTCGAGCGGAAGGTTCGACGATTTTACTGTTGCGCGAATACGTGTACGTTCTTCCCAATTAGCGATCAGGTTGTGCAGAAAAATGGACGATTTGGAAAAAGAAGCGTCGATTAGGGAGAATTTACTGTACATGCCTCGGTAATATTTTCCGTTCGCGATCAATTATTTTGGCAATACTTTTTTCGAGGAATTTGGTTCATCTTTTCTTTTCACGAGTTTTTATTTTGATCTGTTCTTTTTATGAATTCTTGTTTAGACAATCTTTCACGAATCCTTGACTAGTTTAACCGAAAAATTCGCGCGGTTCTCGACAATGCGCGTCTTTTCTTTCATCCGTAAAAAAACCGTTTATCCGACATAATAAATGCGAAGAAACATTGTGGAACATTGATATAATATGGTTGCACTTTCTGGAACATCGTTCTTTCGAAAACCTTTCAAATATTGATCAATATTTTCTTCCATACTTTCTACAAATTTGCAATCATTATAGAGCGTTCTTTCATTGAGTCGCGTTTTAACAAAGCAAGAGCCGAACAAAGGCAAAGTAAACGATAAAAACTGTCATAATCAAATGAATAAATATATAATTCATTCTTAATAATTGTAGGTCGCAGATCAGACAGCGATCAGGCACAGATCGGATGCATGAAAAGAAATGCTGTTGAAAAAAGAGACGCGCGAAGGCTCGTAGAACAGGAGCCGATAGATCAACGCGCGCAGCGCGATTAAAAATGATTCTTAATGCTCTATTACCGCGTAAAAATGCAAGCAGGCGTTGCACGGTTGTATAATGTATTTTTCCGGTGGCGCGAGATCAATCAGAAAATACCAGGGTCCCTTTATTACGAAATAAACCGAACGAACGATCGTCGAGTCGGCCCCGAGGACCGGAGAGCGTTACGCGAACGAGCTGTTTACGAGGACAAGTACAAGGGTCCTTCATCAAAAATGGCCAAGCGCGGACCGCGGTACCGGTCTCGGCCGCACACGGGGTTTATCGTTTCTCAATCGGCCGATTCGAACGATCCCGTCTCGCGCGGTGATAACCTGATTTAGCGCCGGTGACACATCGGCGAATGAAACGGAAAATCGATCGAGCGGAATGCCCGAGCGCTCCTTTGTCTCGTAAATTAAGCGACAAGTCAACGTTTGCTGCGCGGAGCTTGACCGTTTCGTTTCGTTTCGTTTCGTTTCGTTTCGTCTCGCATCGGCTACCGCTATCTACGAACTCGGTTCGGCACCGGGCTTCGCGCGTTTTTCGGTGCGCACGGGTTTCAAGGATCGTAACGACGCATTGTTCTTGCGAAACTGCGAACGAATCCGTGAAACGCGATAAGCTGCCAGGATATTTTTACGATCGGTGATTCCAGAGCGGAGTAATGGTCGCCTGGCGTCGACCCGGTAAACACCACTCAACTGTTCAATTCGGGTGTTCAATAATGGAAGTGGAAATACGATGGAAATTCATGGTCACGTCGGATTTCTAGCCGCTTGAACAGATTAAGTACCTAAAAGCTGATGACGTCAGTACAGTAAAATGTCCCTAATTGATTCTCTGGTTTGAAACGAAAATTCACCATTTGGGATGAGAAGGTGCGGTCATTGAAGCCGTGCGGCTCGTTTTTATGGTTGTTGACAATCGGAGGCCATTACAATGAGCCGCAAGGGTCGAGTAATTGCCCATCTCTTTTCCCAAATTGTCCATTTCGTAAAAGCCGAGGTACAGTTAGACAGAATTTACTGTATCATTAAATACATCCGATCTCCACATTTTTGCCAGGAGTAGAAGAATTTTAAATGGAAACTAAATGTTATGCAGGTGCAGGAGACTATTAATGGTACCTGTATGCCTGAATTTAACGTCGTAAATCTCCGTAGAAGTTCAAACGAAAGGAAACGAAGCGTTTCACAAAAACCAACGAGAAACTGTCCATTATACAGCAAAATGTGCCAATATTTGCAACACCAACCATTCCAGCGAAATCCAAAAATTGATCAGCCGAGCATCCAATCGGATCCAAGTTCTTCGAAAACGTCCGATCTCCGCCGAGAGTAAAAAGCCGTCAATTTCCAACCGATCATCGTTGTAAGAAGATAATGCACCGGCGCGCTCCATTTCCGACTAGCTCACAAAGCGTCTATCGGCGGATCTCGACGTGGGCCACGTGTCGGGATCATTAATAGATGGTCCAGATCCGTTGGATCCTCCCCCGTTCGCAAAAATGCCAGGCAGGAAGGCGTCGGATCGGTGAATCCTGCGCGAGGACTCTCTAGGGGGAGAAGCACGGTGAATCGTGCGGCCAGGACACGCGTGCTTCTGCGTGTCCGTGTGTGTGTGTGCGCGCGTGTGTGCCTGTTTGTGTGGGTTCGAGCACGCGTGGGCGATGCTGTGGCACGCGACACGACCGTTACGTTCGAAACCGAGCCGGCGGTGGGGGCAGGAAAGGCGAGAAAGGGGCAGAGGGGTGAAATTCAGAAGGGGGACCCGGGCGGATTGCGGTGCCCTCGTGATCGCAGACTCACACCACGGCTCTCCTACGTCCGTGTACACGTGAAAAGACGGCTGATGTGTAAAAAAAAATGAGCGGCCGCCAAAGCGACACACTCCACGGTACCGCACAGACACATCGACGAGATCGACTCTTCCCGGGATAGTTGGAAAGAGAGGGAGAAGAGTTTCAGGTAGACGAAACGGAAATTCGAATAGAAAAATACGGGGCCCTTCGAGGGAGGAGTATCCGACGATTGCGCGCGCGCGCAGAAATGTACGGACACATCGACGGAGAGCGCAGGACAGAAAGAGAGAGAGAGAGGGGAGAGGGAGAGAGAGGGAGAAACGTGTTCACGAATCGATGGTGCATGTGCACCGACGACGGTAGAGGTGACGGGTCGTTGGGCCAGGTCTCAAACGGCGTGGGGTGGCTAAGAGGGGTGGGGAGTGGCTCGCGGAGGGGCCCAGCATCTGCTCCATACAACAACGCAACGCGCGGTGTAACAGAGCGCAAAGAGAAAAAGACGAGGACGGTTGATCGCGTCGGAGAAAGAGACGGTCGGTGAAAAAGGGGGAAAGAGAGGTGGGAAAAGGGGGAGCAAGAGAGAACAAGAGGGAGGGAGAAAGAGAGAGAAAGAGAGAGAGAGAGAGAGAGAGAGAGAG